CCAACAGCCAATCTCTTCCAGCGAAGCCCCCAAGAAGTTTAAAGACATTGGGGAAATCATAAGGTTGAATAGTGTTGCATTCTAACAGTTGGAAATACGTTTCAAACGGTTTATGTAATGTGCCCTTGGTGTTTGAAAATTACAGTAGTTCTGTTGTAATGAGTGCTAAAGTCAAATGAAAAGTTGGCCAGAAGCAAATGCAACACAAAAAAATAATGCCCCTCACAGTTACCTAGTTTTGTTATCAGATTAATACTTAAAATAACAAGTGAGCTGGATTTATCTTTGAGTTAGTGCCAATACTCAGATTTTTTTGAGTTACCTGAGGATCCAAGCAATAGAACATATACTTTACATAGCTAAAAAAATTAGTAAATTTTTCTTTATATTGAGCAGAAATATGTGACCATGTAGTTATCACCTGATCCTAGTTCTACCCTATGGACTCTAATTTTCCTTTTGCTAATCTAATTTTCTATTTCATCAGTGTTTTCACTAGAGGGAGTGAAATCTTTTTTTTTTTTCTTTCCCTCTCCTGCAACTCATGTCCTACATCACAGAGATACTACATCACAGAGATACTATTAAGCTTTTCTGCTTGACATTAGAGCTCAAAGAGACATATTTCCCTAAAGTGCTGCAATCTCTGTGGCTGCTAATATACTGTGGATGCAGTGGTTTATCCAAGCCTTCAATATTAGCCTTCAGTATTAGTTGCTCAGATTTTGAAGAGAGATCTCATTTATGTGAAACCTTTAAAGGTTCTGGGTCTTCTTTCAAGGGCGAATTAGAGGGGGAAAGTCCTGAAAATAGCTAGTTACAAACCTTAAGTAAGAGACCAGCTTCCACCATTCTGAGAACCGTACAAGGAAATTAGACTATAAAACTGATGAGCATTGAAAGGACATTTCCATTTTTGGAAATACTGGTGAGAAAAACTCATACCTTCAACCACATTTTCATTTATGCCCTTTTGACGTTTTCAGAACTTTTCCTGCCCAGGAGTCCTCCTTTTTGGACACATGGTCAGCATAAGACCCAGTCCACAAAGTAGTGATAGATCCAGAGGGGCTCCTGGGGCCTACGAGTCTAAGCCAAAGAACAGGGCCACTACTTTTGGCCCTGGCCATTTTAGACTCCATCAATGGAAGTCATGCAAATTGGCCACATAAGGACCTCTTCAAATTCTTTGGGTGTGCCTCAGAAGCTTGCCAGAAGCTGTCACCAAGAAGCATAAGGCTACCACTGCCCAGTGTGACTTCAGTGTCCCATTATCCACTCTGGGCCCTGCAGTTAATATTTTCTATGAGACTATACACACTCAACTACTGGGCTGTGGTCACTCCTCAGAGGTGCCAGGGAAACTCATTCAGGATGGTGAGTCATGTAAAGGAAGGAATACTCATGAAACCAAGAGCCACTGCAGTTACTCCCTGTGGTGTGACAACTGAGTATACCTGCAAGGCCTGCTGTGAGAGTGGTCAGAACTGTTCCTGAAACATCTGCTTCCCCAGACTTCCTGGGTGGGTGTCACAGAATATGCCTGATACATGATTGAGTGTCCAACTGTGGTGTTATCTTTTGGAGCCAAGATACTGTGGCATGGACAGAGATTATGCCTGTGTGGCCTGGAATAGATGGATTTCTGAAGGACAGTGGTGCTGCCCAGTGCCTGTTGGCTGGGATAAACTTCATGGCCCAGCAGGTATCTGAGCATAGATTTGGGCCCAGCAAGGCTGTGACTTGTCAGCTGACAGACTAGCAGGGCTCTGCCTGCTGAAACCCAGCTCCCAGATCCTGAACTTCAACAAATGTGTGACATCTTCAGAGACAATGACACTAAGCATCACTGCCCAGCCTGTGGGATAGCTTCTACAACAGTTATTCATCCAAAATCTGACCAGTACCTGAGCAAAGCTGGGGACCTGCACTCATGAGCATATGTAACGACTGTTGTGACACCAAAAATCCCAGTTAGATATTACAGAGGCACATGCAGATGATGGTTTAACTTCGTTGCTTGGAAGCTGGGCAAGGCTGTGCAGAGCACTGTAGGACAGTGGTGACAGACCTGTCACCAAGGCGTGTGGTGAAGATGAATGAACATGAATGTGTTGCATTTATGTCCATTAAAAATAATAAGACAATGTTGACCAGGTCTTAAAATGGACGCCGGGAGTCTGCTTCCTGGTCGAAGAAAAGATGTGGAGCGGACTGCTGCCTCCTGGTCTAAAGGAGAGTGATACTGAGTTGGATTCTGAAGAGGAGCCCACACTACAGAACAGTGATCATAACTTACAGGAAGACAAAGAGGATGGGACCACTAGAGAAACAAATCTCAGGTTTCTCAGAAGATGAACCAAAAACTGAAACAGAGACTAAAACCAATGCATATGAAGAGTGCCCTTCTGGAATTCCCTTAAATGTGTGGAACAAATTTCAAGAACTGCATAAAAAACGTTCTGAACAGAAAATTTCAGCCTCAAGATTCAGAAGGAGAAAGAGAAAACACTCCAAAAAAGATAAACTGCCGAATGAAAAAGAGTCTCAGAGTCAGCAGTCCGTGAGTGAGACCCAATGGAAGGAGCTTACTCAGTACTTTGGAGCCAATGATAGATTTGAACCCCCTGTTAAAAAGAAAAAGGTTGAAAAGTCAGGCCTTGAGAAGAGGATAGACCAGGCTGTGGAGGAGTGGGACGTGGAGAAGGCCGAGGAGCTTAGCAACCAGCTTGCTAGTGGCGAGCTTGGTGTAAAAATTGCCAAAGCAATTGCCTGCCACAAGTTTGTAAAAGCCAAAAAGGAGATTGAAAACTCACAGGCTGCTCAAAAAAAGAAGAAATTTGCGTGGGGGTTTGAAGCAAAGAAGAGATGGGAAACCAAAAGCAACATGGGATATATGTAACTGGGCAGAACTCTTTAGGACACAGGGAGACTTGTGTGCTTCATTTATAGAAAAGACTTTTCTGTGTAGGTTAAATATATCAGGAAATTGATAGAAGTAGAAAGAAATAAGCATAAATCTTGGGAGTTATCAGCTCTTCAGTTTTTTTCCTAAGGATTTCATTCTATTGAAATAACTGGAATGAAGTATTTGATATTTTGTATAAAATCTAAGCATACATACAGGCAAAGAAGATAGGATGTTATTTATTTGTACAGATTTATGGTATAAAATCAATGTTGCCTTTTATCTGTTTGGTATAGCACAGCTGTGATCCTTGTACTTTCTTATCTGATCTTGGCATAACTGCACTTTCCTGGAATTAATGTTTTTAAGATTAGTTTTTGTTTAAAATGGATTAGTCATAGGTGCAAAAATGTCTCAGTTGATGTTATTTTTTCCTGCAATTACCTTAATGCTATAAACTACCTAAATAACTGTAATTATCTTAATGCTATAAAACAATTATTAATTATTAAATAATAATAATAATAATAATAATAATAAAGAATATATGTGTTAAGCTGGGCGTGGTGGCACAGCACTTGGGAGGCTGAGGCAGGAGGATCGTTGCAGAATTTGAGATCAGCCTGGGCTACAAAGTGAGCTCAAGCCCAGCCTAAACTGCATAATGAGACCCTGTCTCAAAAAGACTGTATATATAATCTTCATGTATACATGTGAAAGGAACTTGGAGGATCCTGAGGTTGCTTCTGGCTGTGAAGACTCACCCTACTCTTTCCCCAGTACAGGCATAAGGAGACTATGGCAGCAGGACTTCTGCACAAGAGCAAGCCAGGGGCAGAGCCCCTGTGTTGCTGGTCACCTTTGGCTGCTTCTGTCTTGAGCCTGAGCAGCTTCCCTTCCCCACCTTTTCCCCTGCCACCCCTCAGCTGCCTGGGCTGAGGACTGCCCTCTCTGCTGTTCTTGTTTGAAGCAGCTTGAAAGGTATTCCACTTGCACCCCTTGAGAGGAATCCCAAGCCTTGTCTTAAGCGTATTTTAGTCAGAGACCAGTGTGCAGGGCCCTGGAGTGTGCATGGGACAGAGGTTGGGCCTTCAGCCCTGAGAAAAGAAAAATGCAGTGACCTTGTTGTCCCTTGGGGAGTGTGGAAGGAACTGGGCCTTTCTCAGCTTCCTCAGCAGCATTTCTTGCTTGCTGAGGCTTCTTTCTCCACCAGGCCTTCCCTGCCTCTAAACTAAAGCACCTGCACCCCATCCTGCCCCCAGCCCTGTGTCATGCTAGAGATTTCATTGCTTATTTTAAAATGTCTTTTAATTCATTGTTCCTAGACACACAGCCTCTCTAGCTGTTGAAGGGGTGGTCTTGAGAAAGCTTTCAAGAAAGCACAGAATGGACTGTTAGTTTTGTTTTGTCTTTATATGTATATAAATATTTCACAATATCATAAAGGAAAAATTCTATCTCTGGTTCTTTCAAGAGAACTCAAATGAATGTTTCTCATCAACAATTTGGACATCCATATCTCCGTGACTGAAAAAAAGTCTGTCCTGCTTAAAGCTGCCAACACAGCTGTTGCCTGAGCGGTGGGCAGAGTCTGGGGAGGTATGTGGGTGGCCTGAAGGCACGAGTGTCTGTGTGTCCTTCACCCTATGGTGGCTTGGTACTTCTCAGACCTCTTCCTGCCTCCTGGGGCCCAGCAGCAGAGGGCCTGCTCTGGAACTTTCTGCTGAAAAAAGCTTACCTTCTGTAACTAACTGTACATGACATAAAGCAGAATGCACAGCAAATAATTTATTATAAGCCACATGAAAAAATACAAGGGGCCAGGGATAGGCTCAATGGAATAAGCGCTTCCCTGGCAAGCACAAGGGCCTGAGTTCAATCCTTGGTTCCACCAAAAAAGAATCATATGACTGTCAAGAGATACTTAATGTTTAAGTAGTTGTTGAACCACATACAATTGGAAAATGACTGCTCTGCATATAATGAACTCTTTAAGTTGTAAGTTTACCCTTCAAATGAAAGAAAAAAGGAATGGCTCCAAGATGGTAGTGACATCATCAGCTTCATTGTTGAAACTGAGGACCTAAAGGATATGACTCTGTGTGGTAAAGCAGCCAAATATTGATAGATAAATAGATTCTCTCTCAATCCCAACACTCTCTAGCCATGTATTCTCAAACCAATTCAGTGACCTATAAAAATAGGAAATTTGTTCTTGGCTATGTGTCAGGAGACTGAAATAATACGGTGTTTTAATGCTGGAATGTCATTACTAAATAAATAATTCTCTGAGGTATGATACACCCCCACATTTCTTTGCAATTTGTTTACTAGAAAGGATTCTGAGATTGGGGTCTGTTTGCTTAAGAAAATCTTAGTCCTCTATATAAAAGAGGAAAAATCTATAGGAAAGCCTGTATCAGGACGTTAAGATGTCACATAGTACTATGTATCTCAGGTTAGGATCTAAAACCAAATACATTTGTAGCTTTGCCAGTTGATCTCAGATGAAGAGTTTACTTGAATTATGTATGTGACCATATTTATTACAACTTAGGGAGCCAGCCAAGAATAAGAAAACTATGTTCTAGACAATGAACAATAAGCTTAGGGGCTGGGGAGATGGCTCAGTAGAATAAGCACTTCCCTGGCAATCGCAAGGGCCTGAGTTCAATCCCCAGTTCCACAAAAAAAAAAAAAGGAAGATAATTATCTTTATTTACAAATGATATGATCCTTTACATAGAATATCCTAAATAAACCATAAACTTTATTGTTTAGATGAAATGTAATGTAACTCTGTATCTTCATATAATCTTCGTATGTAATCTGGCAGGCTTTATCTTTTAAATTTTTTGGTACATTTTATTTTACTTCATTTTATTTTGATACAGGGTCTGGGTACACAGTTCAGACTCATAGTGATTATACCGTCTCAGCGTCCCTAGGGTTGGGATTACAGGAGTACACCACCACACCCAGTTCCTGGTTCAGCACAGCATGTGGGACCTTGAGCTTGCCAAATAAGCACTTATACCTCCAGGCTATCTCCCCAGCCCTTTTGGTACATTTTAAATACACAATGAGCACATTCATCATAGAAAATTTGTACCTACACATAATAGATCTTGATTCTTCTTTTTTTCCCAATTGCTTCTCCTTCCTTCAACCCCTCTTTCTCTTCTTATTTACAAATTCTTTGTTTCTAGTTTTCCTATTCTTCTTTTAAAAAAATCGTTGTCTGTTCATCAGTTAATGGGCATTTGGACTGTTTCCAAGACATAGCTGTACAAACTGCTACTATAAATATGGATATGCATTTGTCACTGTGGTATGCTTTTAATTCTTTCAGGACAATATGAGGAAAGGGAATGGCTGGGTTAAGTGGAACTTCTAGTTTTGGTTTTTGGAGAAATCTGAACAGATTTCCGCAGTGGTTGCACCAGTCTGTACCCCCACTAATAGTGGAGAAGGGTTCTTTTTTCCCTACAGCTCCACCAGCATTGGCTGATTTCTTGATAATAGCCATTCTAGAGTGAGATACAATCTCTGTTTTAATTTGGATCTCTAGAATGACCAGTGATGTTTAACATTTTTTCATATATTTATTTGCCACTTGTACTTCTTTATCTGAATACCATCTGTTCATTCAATATAAATGTTTTGACTGAGTCTTAAATTTGGGGGGACCTGGAGTTTTTGTTTTGGGTTTTTTGTTTGTTTTTTGGTTTTTTTTTTTTTGTTTTGTTTTGTTTTTTTTGTTTTGTTTTGTTTTTTCAGTTCTTTATATATTCTAGACAGCTAGCAAAAAATTTTTACCATTGTGTGGGTTGTCTCTTCTCTGTGTTGGTGGTTTGTTTTGCTATGCAAAAGCTCTTTAATAAGAAGTGATCCCAGTTTATTCTTTGTAATATTTCCTGTGCCGTTAGGTTTTGTTCAAGAAGTCTTGGGGCCGGGGAGATGGCTCAGTGGAATAAGTGCTTCCCGGGAAAGCGCAAGGACCTGAGTTCAATCCCCGGTTCCGCCAAAAAAAAAAAAAGAAGTCTTTGCCTACACCTATGTCTTCAGGCACTCTACCTATTGATTTGGTGTTTCTGTTTTTAATATTTAGATCTTTGATCTATTTCAGTTATACTTTACTACATCATGCTGGATACAGTTTTTATCTTGGACATGAGGAAAGCCAGTTTCTCTAGTACCAAAAGAGGCTGCTTTTTTTTTCCCCCTGAAGGTGTTTGGTCCCTTTGTCAAAGATAAAGTGGCTGACTGTGTTTGGAATTACTTCTGCATCTTCTGATCTGTTCCATTGATCTTTGGGTCTGTGTTTTGTTTTGTTTTGTTTTGTTCTGTTTTGTTTTGTTATTAGTACCATGCTGTTTTGCTTTGTAGTATGATTTCAAGTCAGAGATTGTGGTGCCCCCTGCCTCTGTTTGTTGCCCTAAATTGCTTTTGCTACTGTAGGTCTCTCCTGGTTCCAAATGAATTTTAGGGTTGTTTTCTCTAATTCTGTGAGGTATGCTATTGGTATTTTGATCAAGATTGCTTTAAATCTATATAACAATTTTGGAAATATAGCCATTTTCACTCTATTGGTTCTTCCCACCCAAAGAAGAAGGGATATCATTCCATTTTCTAATTTTTTTTTTTTTTTTCTTTTTCAGAACCGGGTATTGAACTCTGGTCCTTGTGCTTGCCAGGGAAGCACCTATTCCACTGAGCCATCTCCCGGCCCCTCTAATATCCATGTTTTTGTTTGTTTGTTTCTAAACATTTATTTATTTATTTATTTTCAAATTGGTAAGACTCTAATATCCTTTTTTTTCTAATATCCTTTTAATCTACTTTTTCATCATACTGTAATTTTCAGTATAAAGGTCTTTTACAGGGCTGGTGAGATGGCTCAGTGGTCTAAAGCACCTACTTAGAACAAGCTTAGCAAAGCACAGGGACTGCGGTTCAATCCCCCAGCACCACATGCCAGCCAGCCCCGCCCCCTGGTGGGCTGAGCTGGCCACACACACACACACACACACACACGCACACGGAAATAAAATTTTTTAAAAAAAGGTCTTTTACTTTCTTCATTAGATTGATTCTAAGTTTTTCTTTCATCTCTTGAGACATTCTTGTGGCTTTTGTCCTTGGTTCTTTTTTTGCTCTCAGAAATGCTGCTTAGCGTTTTTTGGGGGGTTTTGCTGGTGCAGCCCACCTTGAGGGCAGGACTACCATGGCATGTGGTTCTGGGGATCGAACCACGGTCCCCTGTACCTGCCTAAGCTTGCCTAAGCAGGTGCCTTAGGCCACTGAGCTATCTCCCTGGCCCTTGTTCTTGGTTCTATTAATATGATATATACATTATGATTTTTTTTCTTTTTTTTTGGCAGAACCAGGGATTGAACTCAGGCTCTTGTGCTTGCCAGGGAAGT